TTAAGCCTTCACCACTTTGGGGGTCAAATCTCATGTGCCGGTGTCGGGCTGTCGGTTTCCTGAAAACTGATCTGCTTGACCCTCATACGTCGAATCTCGACGGGAGAGTCGACTATATATATAAAGTCACGATGCACTTTCATTTCAGAGAGACGTGAGGCCATCAGCATTTGACAGCGTAAGCTTTGCAGCTTTTGGAAATGTGCATGATTCCTTGCTCATCTCTTACCAATTGACGTTGGGGAAATGTTGCAAAATTACCGCCTGACGAGAAGTTTTTAGGTCCCCGACTGTAGTTTTAGCGCGAGTTTGAGAAGCTTAATGGCCGTCGCAGTGCTCCATTGTGTAGAAAAATTTACGTTATCCATAGCAAATTTCTCCAAAGAAGATCTGTTCTTCACAAACATCGCAGCAAACCACGCAACAAACCACGCAGCAAACCATGCAGCAAACCATGCAGCAAAACACGCAGCCAAGTACGCCTCTCTCTCTCTCTCTCTCTCTCTCTCTCTCTCTCTCTCTCTCTCTCTCTCTCTCTCGTATTCTATTATTTATCTCTATATCTTAACGAATGAGTTGACTCTCGCTGGCAAAAATGCAAACTCTGTGACAAAATAGTAAAAACCCTCTCTGTCCAATTCAAATGTGATTCCTTTAAATGTTATAGGGCCCACAAAATAAATCGCCTGCTCATCTCTCTCTCTCTCTCTCTCTTTCTCTTTCTCTCTTATTTATATATATATATATATATATATATATATATATATATATATATATATGTGTGTGTGTGTGTGTGTGTAATATATATATCGGTTTGTTGATATTATTTGAAAGTTTTTTTTGCAGCACAAAGTTTAAAAAGGAAAGATTTAACCTTTCGTTTAATGGAGTCAGTATTTTCTCTTCCAGTTACATGGGCTATCCATTTTAGTTGATGTTACTGTAAGTCTTCAAGTGATGTAGTTTTTACTATTTGATAATTTATTTTGTGATTGTGCAGCACAAGTCTTTAAGATATGAGGAAGTATAGTCTTCTTTAAAACTATCAGCTTCATTAGATTGAAGTCATTTTTAATCAATAATCTGAAAACACAGTTATGTGTAGCCGATAGTTTACACATTTCTGAACGAGTTTGACTCTATGCCTGGCACTCATATGAGATAATCTATCTGACAAGTCTATTTAAGAACATGACTTGATTTCATAGGTTAATATTTTGGTTTTCGAGCGCATTGTGATGATGGACAAAACTTACATCTAATTCAGCCTATTCCATGTTCACTTTCCTTATCGCCTATATTAAATTTGTTAAGGCTGATACAGACGCTGCTGTATTTGATTTTTTTATATATTTTCACCCAGTACAAGGCCCGAAGGAAAAAGGTAGAAGGTTACTGAAGTGAAGCTGCTCGAGGGGAACTTACATCTCACCAATGGAATATGAATGGAATGAGGGTGGTTCGCTAAAATGGAGGGTCTTCACTGTCTATATTAGTGTTGTAGCATACCTACGGAGGATAATGGGTTTGTCCCCATTCACATAAATACAGTAGTAAATACTGTATGTTGGTCTGCAGTTGGAGATTCGTCTCTAGCTGTTCTAGTCAAACTTTCTGCCTCCGGGCAGTGAAGATCCCCAGACGAAGCTATGTCGAAGGGCAGAGTCACGTCTCGGAAAACACCTACCCGACCCCGTTTTATACGGGGTGTACGGGAAAATTTTGACCGAGCCTACAGGCTCGGATACCCCAGATTAAATTCAGCCTTGTGCCACATCTGACCGCGTGGGGTGGTTGGTAGATATTCTGCAATTGGAGATTCATTGTGGAATTCCCTTGACTCACGTCTATCAGTTGACTACTACTTCTACGCGCCGCTGGCGAATCTTATATGTGTTGTTCTTGTCCTAAGTATTATCGTTCATTACCAACCTTCCCGTGATTATTCTATTCAGTAACCTCCCCTAGGTTGCAACAGTTAGAATTGGTGAGACTGAAGAATGTAGTTCGTCTGACCACTTTCCATGGAAATAGCGATAGATTAGCAAGAGGCTTCAACAACGTTTTATCTGCGCGAAAGGGGTTTTAAAACCAAAAAAATTCATCATTACCAAAGCCTAGACGTTTTTCAATAGACTGGAAAGTGAAGATAGTGTAAAAAGTCTTCCCCATATATATATATATATATATATATATATATATATATATATATATATATCAATCAATAATCTATTTTCGTAATAAGTCTAAACATGGAATGTTTAAGATTGTAGTGAACAGGGAAGCAACCTCTTAAATTTTTCTGTTCAACAATGCGACAGTTCTGGAAAAAAAAAATAACTAAGATGAAGTTCTTGCCCAAAAATAGAATACAAAGTGAATGTTAATGAGATATCTCAGTGTACGTGATATTGCCGTTTTTTTTTTTTTTTTTTTTTTTGGAAATAGTTCTAATATTTTTTTTTTTGCCATTAAATAGAACTGGTATTTGAATTCAGATCATGTATAATGTTGTTCTCCCGCCCTTTGTGATGTTGCCTTAAATCTGCTTTCTCGTCACCAAAGTTGGTGATTGGCAGCAATAAGCGATTAATGGCCGGCGAAGAATCATCGGCAATCGATACAACGCCATCGACTGCAGATGCGAGAGAACGCAGACAGATAACACTGACGTTTAATTAGAAATAATGTTCACAGAGACCTCGTTGAAACTCCTTGTTAATTTTATCGGAATTTTTTTTTCTTGCTGTATTTTATTTGGGGGGGGTATAAAAATGTTAGTCATTTCATTTATCATCATTATCTTTCAAATTGATCTTTTATCTCAGCCATTAGTTCATACGTCTATTCAGTCTTCTTCTTCTTCTTCTTCTTCTTCTTCTTCTTCTTCTTCTTCTTCTTCTTCTTCTTCTTCTTCTCTTCAGAGGTTTCTTTTTCTTTACAGATTTCTATTTCTTCTTCTTCTTTAGATTTCTCTTCTACTTCTTCACCTTCTTCAAAATTCTTATTTTCATTTTCTTTTTTCTTCTTCGGATTTCTTATGCTTCTTCTTTTCAGTTGTCTTTTTTCTTTCAGATTTCTTCTTCCCCTTCTTCATCTTTTTCAAATTTCTAATTTACCCGATTATTTTTGTCTTCCAATGTCTTCTTCAAAAATCGTATTTTTCTTCTCATCATATTTTTTTCACTTTCTTCCCTTCAGATTTCTTTATTTTCTTCTTATTTTGAACTTTTGCATCAAATCGAATTTCTTTTTCTTCTCTTCAAATTTATTTTCCACTTCACTTCATTTTTCTCTTTCTTCTTCTCTACAAATTTATTTTTCTTCTTCTCTACAAATTTATTTTTCTTCTCTTCAAATTATTCCTTTTTAAATTTCTTTTTTTTAATTTCAAATTTCTTTTCCACTTCACTTCAAATTTTTTTCTTCTTCTCATCAATTTTTTTTCTTCTCTTCAAATTTCTTTTTCTTCTTCTCTTCAAATTTCTTTTTCTACTTCATCATCTTCTACTTCTTATCAGATCTCTTCAATAATAATAATAATAATAATAATAATAAATGCTCCTTGTTTCCGCCTATATCCAGGTGTTTATGTCACTAGCTAATTCTCTTCAAAAACGCCGGCTTAGGCTCATTTGCATTTTATCTAGTTTGAGCGGACCCTTATAGTTTCCGGCAAAGTGTGCATAATCTGACTTGCTCAGTAGTTAAATAGGTCCAGTAAATAAGTCGCGAAGACTTCGTGCTTGTGTGTAGCGTTGTGCCTTGAGCAGTACCTGTTGGGTTTTACAGTTACTATCACCCCGCGTCAGGGAATAATGGGAAACCAGCAATTTCTAAAAAAAATTCCATGCTCATCAAAACCTCCTGATCAGAAATTAAAAGCTGGACGTAGTTTAACGTCTTACCCAGAACGCGGATGTAGTTTACCGTCTTACCCAGGACGAAGTCGGTTTTGGGCGGCGAAGAGTGTCAAAAAGCATCGGCCAGGGTGGGATGACCTTAACAGGCAAAACGGTCCTTCTTTTATGGAGTTTGACTTTTGTCAGGTCAGCGAGGTAAAGACATTATTTACAGCTTTTAGCCCACACTCGACTAAAATATTTTGGTTCAGACTGGTCTGAGATAAGAATGTTGCCCGCCAGTGTGCTTCGAACTGCCAGGCCCAATAAAAGGGACTCTCTAGAAACACACAGTTTGTTTAATGAGCATTATCGTATATCATTAGCAGCACAACTGTCGGTAAATTCCGTAGAGTCTCGTCTATCTATTTTTACATCACGTGGTTAGGAAAAACACGTGGTTTACCAGTACTTAGAAACGGTGCAGGGTGCAGAGATCGTGTTCCCAGGACCATATAATCAAGAAGTCAACTGACTGACAAACCGAATGTGTTGAGATTCGAAACCAGGTCTCACGTTCTAAATCACTGGGCCACGTTCCCACCAAAAATCTCCTCCTACTTTCTACGCTTATTTATTCAAATTCTGTTTAAATTCTCCTTCGCCTTTTCATGATTCGCTTCTCCGTCATCCCATTTTCAATGCTTTTTAAGATATTATTGTCATATTTCGTCCTATAAAGTTTGTCTTTTTCATTGTTATTTCGATTGTTTCAGCTTTCTTTTTCGTTCTACTTTTTTGACATTTTCCATTTTTCTTGTGTTTTTCTATTTAATCCTTCTCTCATTTTTTATTTAATTTTTGTAGTTTTCCTTTTTATCTCCTTTCAAAAAATCTTCTTTTATTTCTTCTTTCCTATTTTTAGACCTTTTACAATTATATGAAAACCGCCTTCACCAAAAATGTAGTTTATCTACATGTACTGGCCCAAGAGCCATTTTTATGTGCACTTTAGTATAACAAAAAAATGTTTTCGTATTTTCCTTTTCGTTCAAATCTTTTTTCCTCTAATGTTTACATTTTAAATTTACTTTTTTCATTCCTCATTCATTTTTTGCTATATTCTTCGAAAGACTGTTCCTCATTTTCTCTCCTAATTTGATTTGTCTTTCTTTACTTCAGCAATTTTTTTCTTTTCTAAAAACGATTATTCTCTTTCTTTGTTACTCCATCTTACATTTTTCTTTCTTTGCTTCTGCAGTTTTTTCTTTTCTAAAAACGGCTGTTCTCTTTCTTTATCGCTCCTTATTACATTTTTTCTTTCTTTGCTTCAGGAGTTTTTATTTTCTTCAAGCGGCCGATCTCTTTCTTTGTCACTCCTTAACTTTTTTCTTTCTTTGCTTCGGCAGTTTTTTTCTTTTCTAAAAGCGGTCGTTCTCTTTCTTTCTTACTCCTTCTTACATTTTTTCTTTCTTTGATTCGTCATTTTTTTTTTTTCATAATTTAATTGTTTTTTTTAGTTGTCCTTTTATTTTTTTTTTTCAGCAGTTTTTTCTTTTCTAAAAGCGATCGTTCTCTTTTTTTGTCACTACTAACATTTCTTTATTCTTCGCTTCAGCAGTTTTTCTTTTCTAAAAATGGCTGTTCACGTTCTTTGTCACTCATTATATTTTATCTTTTTATTGATTCAGCATTTTTTTTTTCTAAAAGCGGTCGTTCTTTTTCGTTGTAACTCCTTCTTACATATTTTCTTTCATTCCTTCTTTATTTTTTCTTTTCTAAAACATTTGTTCTCTTTCTTTATCACTCCTTCTTACATTTTTCTTTTCTAAAAGCTGTCGTTCTCTTTCTTTGTCCTTCCTACTTAGTTTTTATCTTTCTTTTCATCAGCAGTTTTTTTTTATTTCCGAAAAACAGTTGTTCGCTTTGTTGGTCACTTCTTCATACTTTTTTCTTTCTTTGCTTCATTTTTTTCTTCTTTTCTAAAAACGGTCGTTTTCTTTCTTTGTTACTCCTTCTTATATTTTTTCTTTCTTTGCTTCAGCAGTTATTTTTTTTTCTAAAAACGGTCGTTCTCTTTCTTTTTCTCATCTCCTTTGGAAACTTCATTTTTCATTTCATTGCTCAATGAGTTTTCTTTTTTTCCTTCGTCTTTTCTTTCTCTTTCTTTGTCACTACTTTTACAGTTTTTTTTTCTTTGCTTCAGCAGTTTTTTTTTCTTTTCTAAATGCGGTCGTTTTCTTTCTTTGTTACTCCTTCTTACATTATTTCTTTCTTTTGCATGGAGCAGTTTTTTTTTTTCAGAGTTTTCCCTCGTTCTCTTTCTTTGTCACTACTTCTTATATCTATTTATTTCTTTCCTTCATGAGTTTTTTCTTTTCTTTTCTAAAAGCATTTTAGTCTTTTTTCTTGGCTTCCCTCGAGTTTTTTTTTTTTTATAAAAGTAAGTTTTTTTCCAGCTCTTTGTCCTCCTTTTTTTCATTTTTTTCTTTTTTTGCTTCAGCATTTTGATTTTTTTCGAAAAGCGGTCAATCTCTTTCTTTGTCACTCCTTCTTACATTTTTTCTCCTTGCATTCAATTTACTTAGTTATCTTTGCTTACTTGTTTCTTTTTCAAAACTTTCTTCCAATTTTTCCTTATTTCTCTACTCTCGATATCTTCTTTCCTTTTTATCCTCCGCTATTTTCTTTTTCTTTCGTAATCTTTGTTTTCTTCTTCTTCTTCTTCTTCTTCTTCTTCTTCTTCTTCCTCTTCTTCTTCTTCTTACTTTCTTTCTTCTTCTTACTTTCTTTCTTTCGGCAATTACATTGCCATGTTTCGAAACATTCATATTTTCAATCTTTTTTCTTCCTCGTTTCTACTTTATGCCTCACTCTCTTCTTCGTCTCTCGAAAGGATTGTATTTTTTTCTCCTTTTTCTCTCTACTTCATATTTTCTGCTTTTCATTCTTTTTTCTGCAGTTTCATTTTTTTCGAGACATTTTTTTTCTTTTTCCTCCCTCCATTTCATATTTTCTTGTGTTTCTCTTTTCTTCTTTTCTTTCTTTTTTCTTTTGAATCTTTTATTCTTTTCAAAACTTTTCCAAACATTTCTTCTTTTTTTCTTCTTTTCAACTCTTTTTCTTCTTTTACCTTTTCTCTTTCGAAATATTTTATTCTTTTCTTCTCATTTTCTTTTTCCCTCTTCTTTTTTTTCTTCTCTTAAGAAAAATTTTCTCCTTTCCGAAACATTGTCTTCTTTTCTTCTCTTTTCTCCTTTTACTCTTTCCCGCTTCTTTTTTCTTCCATTTTCTTCTATTTTTTTTTTCACTTTACGTCTTTTTTCTCTTTTCTTCTTTTCTTTTCTTTTTCTCTTTTAATCTTTTCTTCTCTTTTCTCTTTTCTTCTTTTTTCTCTTTCTTTCTCTTTTTTATTTTTTCTACTTTTCTTCTCTTTCCTTCTTTTCTTATTTTTCTACTTCTTTTCTTTTTCTTTTTTCTCTTTTCTTCTCTTTTTCTCTTTTCTTCTTTTCTCCACTTTTCTCTTTTCTTCTTTCTTTTCTTCTTTCTCTTTTTCTTTTTTTTTCTTTTTTCTCTTTTCTTCTCTTTCTTTCTTTTCTTTTTCTCTTTTCTCCTCTTTTTCTCTTTTCTTCTTTTCTTTTCTTTCTTTCTTTTCTAATTTTTGCACTTCTCTTTTCTTCCGTTTTCTTCTCTTTTGTTCTTTTTCTTTCAAAACTTTCTTCCGGTTTTTATTCGTTTTTTTTTCTTTGATATATATATATATATATTTTTCTTTATTTTTTTTTTCTTTATTTTTCGTTTTTCTTGTTTCCCTTGAATTTTCATATTTTTTTTCGTCTCTTTTTTTTTATATTTTCTTTTTCAAGGAATTAACTTTTTTTTCCACTTCGTCATATTTCAAAACATTCGTCTTTTTTTTTTCATTTTTTTATATTTTCCCCTTTCTTTACTTGTCACTATTTTTTTCTTGTATAAAAATAATTCGCCATCTTATTTTCTTAATATTTTTTCCTTTTGATATTATCTTCTTTCGTTCTTTATGCTCCGCCATCATTTATTTAATAATTTTGTTATCTGTTTTCTTTTCTGTTGATTTCGTTAATAAATTGAAACCCGATGGATATTACTTCTTTCTGAAAAGCACGTTCTCTGTCTATTTTTTTTTTTTTAAATTTCACCGGCAAGAAAAGAAATTTCACTGAAATATTATGGCCAGTTCGCATGGCTTCCCCTTTCAGTCTTCCATCGTTTTTCTTCAAAGCAATGCATTATGGGTCATTGTGCAGTTTGTCGTTAATATCCATATCGAAATAGAAGCGGCGAGTAACTACTGGTCGCTAGCTGTTTCGACGCACAAATCACCTGTTTACTTCATACTAATTTTAACGTCCTTTAATTTAATTCAATAAATATGTCGCCATTGCTTTTAAATTTTTTCCCAAATTTATGCCTTTACGCATAATTTCCTGATGCATGTCTTGAAACGATTATTACGTCACGGATTTAAAAGCACAACGAAGCAACGTCTTTTTATCATTTTCATAATTTACAAACTAATGTTTCTTGGTCGTTTGGCTGAGACCAAAGCGTTAGTAGCTGTTCTCTCTTTATTCTATATGGAAGAAGGTGCCAACCTTGTGGTAGCACCTTCTTCTTTACGCTAAGAAAGGTTGTGTTGGCAGTATAGATGCCAGATTGACTGAGGTTTTGAGGACTGGCCAATGATTGTCCTTGGTCCTCATGCATTATTCCACAATGCCGCATTGCTTTATATTCATATCTATACGTATAGGTACCCCACATATAAAAAAAAAACCTTGTGTCACATTCTACCTTAGTTGAGCGGTCAGGTAAATAACGCTTTTCGGCTAAATGTGTAGTGTCTGTTCTCTCTTTAAGAAATGGAAAAGGCGCCTGGTCCCAGGGTTTCCACCATTGTATGATCAGCTCCCTTGCATAAAATAAGGAGGGTCGTTGGGATATCATGACAGTAATCGCGGGAAGCAAGTAATTTTGGATTGGCTGATGGCAAAGTCATATTAAACGACCTTGTGCCATATATCCTCGTTTTAATCGATGAAAACGAGTTCCTGGATCAGGAGATTTCATCCCTGCGACAGAACCCATTTCAATGTACTAAAAAGTGGGAGTCGGTGCATACTGTCGCCCTTGAGACAGTAATCCGTAAGAAGAATAGGCAATGTTTTTCATAGTTTATCAATACGATTATTGGTACCACCCGTTAAAAAGGACATTGGATTGCATATCGCCGCCGCAGGGCGGTAGATAAATACGAAATCATCGTATAATATCTGTTCTCCCCCTCTCTTCAGCGTTTCTGATTTGAGAGATATCTTCTCACTAGAAATCCAGCCCTACGGCAGCACCTTTGAAATTTCGGTGAAGAAAGCGGTTTGGTGATTACAGAGACGCTGAGAGTGAGAAATGTTTGTCATTGTTCCATATATGCATAAATAGGCACCGATTATTAAGAAACATTACAGTGTAGTTAAATATATTTAAAATAAGTCTGGTACAAGGCCATATTTTAAAGAAAAATTTATTATGATGTTCACTCTGTACAAGGCCCAAGAGCCACTTGAGGTAGTGTAAGATGTAACAATCCAAACAAGGTTATAATGCCACCAAGACGCAAAGGTTCAGCGAAAGTGAAAGAGAAGGAACACACTTTAAAAGGAAGTGGAAACACATTCTTAAACAAGAAAAAAGAGACAAACCCCTACTCCTGTTCAAAAGGCCGAAGAACCGTGTGAGCCGGGTGATAGACGAACATACTGAGGACAAAAGATTATATAACAGTTTAGAGTTTTAGGTACAGACGATAGATGTATAAACTTGAAGTAGAATTTTGAAGAAACTAAAACCCCAATACTAAACATGAAACAAGGGATAAACCTCTACTCCTGTTCAAAAGAACAGGGACGTGTGTGAACTGGACAATACTCTCAATTCAGCATTTTATGACGAAAGAATGAGATAAGACTTCATTTTATGATGCATCAAATGTTGTTTTAAAATGTAGCGTCAACTTCCACGTACCACTTCCCATTTGCTGAACACAAATTACCTGCATTTTCCACGACGTGTTTTTATTGGCTAAAAAATTTAACACTGAATCTGATTGGTTGAGAAAGAAGCTGCGGCTCACTTTGAAGTCGGTAGAATAAAACAGATGTCATACTTCAAAGATATTAACAAAATGCTTGTTTAAGGCGTTCTCGGATAAATGCAACATGAATGGAGAACGCGTGGGAGGAACTACGAAAAAATAGTACCTACCTTGATCGTTGAGATTTACCTTGCAAAACGTAAAATTGACTGCAAATTACTTCATTATCGGTGAAAATCAAGAAGAATGTGACGAACAGCCTCAAGCCGAGAAGCAGACAAGAGCCATTAAGCTCAGTTATTGTAAATATTGCCCAGAATGGCAATTCTTACATCAAACCAACCTGGTTTCTGATGGAATTCAAAGAAAGAAATGACGGACAAAAAGAAAATGTATGTTATCCTAAAGGTAAAAGGTTTAAATCGTTCTATCAACACAAGAATCGATTTGTTATATATATATATATATATATATATATATATATATATATATATATATATATTTTTTTTTTGGATATTATATCGAAAAAATAGTATTAAAATCATAAACAATTACCGTCGTGTTTCTTTTAAATTAAATAATACGAACGTTTAATTTTTTAAATCTCTCTCTCTTTTTTACTCTCACTCTCTCTCCCTCTACACACACACACACACACATGCACACATATACATTCTACATAATTCATGGAAAAAATATCCATTAATTACCATGAAGTTATTTATATAAAAAAGGGAACAGAGAGGCAACCTTACGGCGGTGGGCAAGTGACTGAAGCCGTGGAGCCATATCAAGACCAATAATATTGCTGATTCTTTCTTTCTTATCAAGGAGCTCCAGTAAAATAGCAGGGCCACTGGACCATATATAGCAGCAATGTTCTAAGTATGGATGAATGGTAGACTAATAGATATACAAGATAGATTCCGGAGAGAAAACGAGTCTTGCCCGACACAGTGGACCGAGTTTCTAGCGATAGATTCAATGGAGTCTTTCAACTTCATGTCAGCCGAGAAAGTTAGACCGACAAGGCGCAATGAGTCACTTTCTTGGATGTTAGCATAAGCCACGCTGATGGAATGTAGAGGGGGGTTTCTCAAATGATTAATGGAGAGAAGTTTAGATTTAGAAACGTTAAAATTGACAAGCCATCTTTTGCCCCAGTTAACGACGGTCTTGACATCGTTTAGTACATCAACTGCCATTTTGACCCTGTCTGCCTTAACAGACTTACTATCGAGGCAGGATTAAATGGTAGTGTCGTTAGCGTGGATACCAATTTGAGAGCTGATCTCATCGGGAAGGTCGTCAATGAAAATAAAAATAAGACAGCGTAGGGCTAAGTTTAGAGCCCTGGGGTGCATCCGCGTTAGTACGAATGGATGTAAACAAGTGGCCTTTTAAGGACAGCTTCATTTCACGATTTGATAGGAAAGACTGGATCAGTTCACAAAACGTGCCCGGAGATGCCGCAGTTTTTCAGCTTTTGGAGAAGACCTGACTGTCAGATCCCGTCAAAGGCTTTCGAGATATTCAATGCTACAGCCAGGGATTCAGCATTTTCATCTAGATCATGATAGACTCTTTCTGCAATTATCATTACTACACACATAAACACACCCACGCATTACAATGTCTGGCGCTCAATTTCTTGAGAGCTCCTCATTGCGACTGCTCGGTCTCACATTGACTGCCGACCTGAGATGGAACAAATACATTGAGTCAATAGCTTCGTCCACCGCAAGGAAAGTTGGCGCCCTGTGCCGCGCCAAAATTTTTTTTCTCGCCGGAGTCGATCCTTCAAATCTACAAATCAACCATTCGCCCTTGCATAGAGTATTGCTGCCATATATGGTCTAGAGCACTTTTTGTTTGTCTCAAGGTGCTTGATAAAATCCAGAGACGGATATGCAATGTAATTGGCCCTGATCTGGCATCTCGTCTACAGCCGCTCTCTCACAGACGTGTCGTCGCCTCCCACTGTCTTTTTTTACAAATACTTTCACGGTAACTGCTCCGATGTGCTGCTTTCGCTGGTTCCCAGACTTCATGAATTTAAGCGTTCAACTACGCTGGCATCTCGCTTACACCCTTCCACTGTCGAAACTGTTAAATGTAGCCGTCTCTTGTACTTCAATAGCGCCATGTCTCACACCTCTCGCCTGTGGAACTTCGTCCCCTTTTCCTGTTTCCCTGATAGCTATAATCTCCAACTATTTAAATGTAATATCAATCGACGTCTCCAGATGCCTTGATCTATCCCCTATCCTTCTCTTCATCCTTTCCTCTATCACTCCTATTTGCTCTCACTCCAATTCTCTGTAACCCCTTGTGTGCTAGTGGCTTTCCGCCTTACTTGGGTTTGTTCTGGAGTGTGGCACCATTTACGAGGCAGAGAAAGAAAGAGAAAGAAAAGAAGGCAGAAAGAAATGCGAGACGGATCATAAGTGATAAACAGCCACACACATGGCCTAAGAGGCAATGAAAATATTGATAAGTAACAAGTGAAAAAGTGTGTCATTAGAATG